GATAAAAAAGAGAAGGAGGAGAAAGAGAGAGAAGAAAAATAAGGGCAATATTTGGTGAATATGGCAACATACGCGATGGACTATTAAATCTATTAGGGCTCTCCTGAAACACTTGTTGGCGAGCCTACATTTGGCCAGAATTCAGATCCTTCGATATAGCGTTTACCGTGAGCCTCTTAGACCCTTCCATTAAAAAAAGTTCGATATGACCCAAGTGAGATGCCTGCCTCTTCTGTGAGCTCCCTGCTGCTACCGTTCACAACAACTTATTTTACTTTTTCCGCGTTTTTGCTCGGGATCGCAGTGACAAGTAGCTTGAAGCGATAAATATCTTTCAGGCTGTCCCACCTGTCGCAAAGTTATTGGAAACATTTATGCATTTAGCACCGCCTCGTAGCCTGGTCCGTAAAGATTTTTGCAGTATTCGTGCCATCTGTTAGCCTTTAGTTCTTACCACTGAATATTCAACCCACAAAAACAAACTACGGCCTAATGTTAGTCGCTCCAGGGTGTTGGCGAAATACACAGCAGTCCTCGAAATAAAATTTAAAATTTTGCTGGCGGACATAAAATGTTCAGGCACATATTCGAGCCCAAATCAATTCTTAACCGACAAAACACGGATCCTTTGTCCATACTTCTTTGACATATAGCCCAGGTCGGATAAAAATTGTACTCACATGCAATCAGCATCAGCTAAATGGTGTATAGCAAAAATAATATATACACATCCAATCGTAAAAACAATCTATTCGTGCGATCATCAGTACTGTAACTTGGCCCCATTTCTCAACTTGAATCGAATCTCAACTTGAAGCGCATTCGATCTCACAACTAAACTTTACTGCTAAGATAAGGAACTCATTTTACAAAATTGTACTCGTTTCAAAGTCTAATGTACGTCTTTAGTAACGCTTTTCATATTTATTACTATCACATGTTCAAAGCTTTATCATTTATTTATTTATTATTTAAGAACGCGTTACTTTTTATTATTAATATTTTGATACATGCTATAATAGCGATAATTTATGCTATACCAATTGCCTAATTGTAAATGGGAAGTGAATTCTAACCGAGATGAACTGGATACACGTCTGCTGCACCGTACGTTATCTGAAGATCAATCTATTTATAAAAATTAAAAAAAAAATTAGAAAAATTCAAAAAAAATTAGGCCTAGTAACTATTAGCATACGCTCAGGGTAATGATGGGAGACATTGTTATACTGGAAATCTATTTGTTTCTCTTTTTCGAATCTCATCTCCTGTCATCGATTTGGCCGTTCTATGGCAAGGTATCGGACACGGTTCGTAAAGGCATATTCGACACGGAAATGTATGAAGGTCAAGAAAAAACCTTGATGCTCGGTAACTTGGCGGCCTTAATCGGTTCTGCCATATGGAACGTAATAGCGACGCATCTCGCTCTTCCCGTATCGGGCACCCACTCGATTGTTGGCGCAGTCCTGGGCTTCACGATTGCCGCCCGAGGTAAGTCGTGTCAGTATATATATATATATATATATATATATATATATAAAGCATAGGCTTATAGGAAACTAAAAGTACGAGCGTATTCTGGCTGTTGTTTAGCTTAGTTTATTTCTTTAATAAATATTTAAATCAAACAACTTCCTCGTTAGTTTTCTGGCTTATAGGGCTCAATTGCATACGATATATATATATATATATAGTTTTTATTATAATTAAAGACACCTAGTGATATAAATAACAAATTTTTGTCGCATGATGCACAGGATTTAAGGGCATCAGCTGGGAAAATTTGTTAGGAATCGTGTCGTCTTGGTTCATCTCACCTGTACTCTCCGGTATCATATCATTCCTCATTTATTTCAGGTAAAATCATAGTCATGATATGGAGACCCATCCGGAAAAAAATTTAATTAGAAATATACAGTTAGATTCTTTGTATATGGGTTATCGACAGTATTCGCGACTGGTGATGTAGCCTTCACAAAATTTAAGTACATAGCAATGTCTGAAAGCAGTTCCTTAAATGCCTTTATTGACTGTTCCATTTTTATTCATAGACTAGACAATAATATCTTAAAGATTAAGTTTATTTATCCTATTTAATGTCTGTAGACAAAAAATGTCATCTCGGTTTTTATTCATTTTTTTCCCACTTCCAGTATCAAATATCTTGTGCTATCACAGGCGGAGCCACTTGAACCGGGGCTACGCATGCTCCCGGTCTTCTACGGGCTAACGGTGTTCGTTAATGTTTTTTCGGTTGTACATAACGGGCCGTCTCTGCTCTTGCTTGATCGACTTCCGCTCTGGGGTGCCCTATTTCTATCAATTGGGATTTCCGCCGGTGTAATGGTTTTCATCTGGTCATTCCAGGTGGGCACGACTTTGTATTTTTTTTGTAAGTCCACGACCTAGATTTGTGCATGACGTATTGTGTTAGGATATACGTGGTCGTAGGATATACGCAGATATGGCCGTGTGACGCTCAAATACGTGACATGGGGGTACATCGGGGGCACAGATCTTTCACCAAAACTTTCACCTCACTAACACTGACAACCTCTTATAATATTATTTCAACATTATCGAACACTCCGTACTCGACTATGACCAGTAGTGGGCAAAACCTAAATCTGTCTAACGATTCTGTTGTGCTCATGACATCTTCCAGGTACCTAAACTCCGCCGAAAGATAAAAAGCTCTTCGGATTTCCGAGCGATTCCCTCGACCACCCACGAGGTTTGTATATAACGAAATGGAAGTTTGCATTATAACACCTTGCAAAGTAAATACCCTCTTTGTATGACACAGAAAGTTTGGCATAAAAAATACAATTCGTATTAATACGTTGCCGATTGTATGGTTGCATGGGTCTATGATACTAATTGAAACCTGTCTGCAACGCGGTGCTATTGCGTTAACATATATTTGGGTCGACGAATATTAAATATTATATAAATATTAATATAAAAGCTCTATTTTCATTCTATGTAGCATCCGCTTGGGAATCGCTTTAAACAGAAGGCTATCTCTATGAAAATCACGCAATTCTACCTTATTTACGCAATGTGGTAAACAACAATAGAATAAATCTGACACAAACATTACACAAATGGACGACGAAACGAAATTGTTCATTATGTACACCACACACATGAATCTCACGTTGATTCCGTGTGGTACTATACGTGATAGGACTTAATTGCGATTTGTCCATTCTTGTCAATTGTCGTGAACCTTTTGCCGTCCTTGTATTCTCGTACTGCTAATTCGACAGCTAATATACTGAGCGGACCTGGCCTTTTGTGAAGGAGATAAGTGATTCTGCTAGACGCTACCAGGTGGCGCATTTAACGCCCATAAGTGCTGTCGGCATATAGAGCATTAGAAACGCACTGATACATGTCGGGCAGAAATGTTAGTCACATTGAAAACAACTTCTTCTAACCTCACTCGAGTCTCCCCGGGCCTTTATCAGGGCAAACGAATGAGCCTATTTTGCAGGAGGTTTGTCGACGGCAAAACGTAAAAAAGCTACAAAAACAGATCAAAATTACCTTTGGGATTGTCAGGGCACTTGGGCCTACTATATAGACCTCAGATCAGGTAGCTGAAATAATTATCGGATAATCTGTGAACCCTCAGACTTGACTCCACAAACGACCCGTTTCTTAGTGCTGTGATCCGGAGTCCTAGCTCACCGACTACAAATATTAATGTTAAAGAGGTTTTAGTTCTTCGTCGATGCCAAAATTGCTTAGAGGCGGATTGTTAGAAGAGAACGTGGTTCCTATTTACCACATGCAGATGTCAAGCAAACGACTGAAATTAACCTTCTGTTTAGTATAAAGATTATCCTCTTTGGCCGGCTATTAACTTCGCAGAAGTTTCACTAATTACATATTAGTAAGTTTTATTCAACTCGATGACTGTCTGCATTAGCTAACTCGAGCATTCTCCCCAGACAAACTAACCCTCAAAAGGTCCGATCGTATCTTTCTTAAAAGGATAGATGTCGAGACCCTTGGTAGATGGACGGCAAATTCTATTTCTTCCACCTTGACTAGATGCGTTGTCTTCAATGCGTTCAAGGTATTGCAGTAGTTCGCTGTTCCATATTTCCGATCACACTACGTCTTATGCAACTTTTTATCGAGCTAATCCTGTAAATGACGCTCACTTCCCTAAACCAAGCCAACATAAAACTGTATTCTTAGTTGGCATTCATCTAACTTGATATGTTTTTACCGCTTTATAAGATTTCAATGTCTCCAAATTGTACCGACGGGACTAATACAACCAGTAAGGCTACCTTTGCAAAGTACGGTAACGACCGAAGATCATCAATAGCCTCGATCGAAGTCGCTATCCTCGAGACAAAAACCCAGGAAGAAGAGGATAAACCGGAAATTAGCAGACTCTTTTCCTTCCTGCAGGTGATCAATATGTAGCAATAAAAATGTCAGAAAATGCTATACGTTTGCAGCTGCTTTCTACGATGACAGGATAGCATTAGTACGCTATGGTTTTCTAAAGATGTCCTAGCATGCACCATGAGTTATTCTATGTCAACGAATGGGTTTAAGCAGGACTTGAGCTAACTTTAATGAGATACTTGAGAAACGTTTATTAAAGGACGACGGGGACAGAGCTGTCGGTTGGCAAACGTCGCGCATTTCTGTATACCCTTATGACGCGCTAAAATATAATATTCAATAGATATAGTTGAGTGTATAGCAGTCAGGAAATATTTAAATGATATAGCTAGTTATTCTTGATTCATATAAATCTTTACAAATTAACAGTGATATTGACTTTCATCGTTTTCGTTAGGTGCTGACTGCTATCTTTGGATCGTTTGCCCATGGTGGCAACGATGTGTCAAACGCGATTGGCCCGCTTGTTGCCCTTTACATGGTTTACACTTCTTCCAGCGTCCAGCAGGTACGATTTGACCGAGGAAAGATTCTATGGAATTGTGCCATATTAGATTACACATCATGAAGACAAAAGCCGTGCCCTTCAACAATATTCTCATAGCTAATGGTTTCCATATTAGTAAGAGCAAGCGCTGCTGTTCTCTGTAGACAGGTGATGTTCCGCTTTGGATCATGCTCTACGGTGGCATCGGAATCTGCGTTGGTCTATGCCTTTGGGGCCGAAAGGTGGGCATTTTGTTTAACGTCCTTTAGAAATGCCTAGATATATGAAAACGCTATTTACTATACAGCTGAACGGTTAACAAGGAGCAATTGCGGAAGACATTACTAGGGAGCCAGCGAATAGTAGGTTGAAGTTCTATTCGTTACGGCTCATAGTTTACGCTAACCAACTGTTCATCCGTATTTTAACTTTATTTGCTTTAGGATAAACATGCGATATAAGTACTAAGAATACGGGATGTTTTCATGATTTTAGGTCATTCAAACAATAGGAGAAGATCTGACCAAGGTAACACCCTCTAATGGATTTTCTATTGAAATTGGGGCCGCCACAACTGTACTGTTGGCATCGAAAATTGGTCTACCCATTTCGACCACTCATTGCAAGGTATCATTTTACCTAATTCCACCTGATGTAACCTTTTTAATAGTCTAATCTGGCATTTTACGATACCTTCTGCCCTGCGATCAGCGACCTATTTTGAACAGATTTAACTGGCGAGCGCAATATTGATCTGCCTATGGTGGATGCATAGCTACAGCTTTAAGCCAGACAATCATTGCGCATTTTTTTGTAGCTTTTTCAGGAAAATCTTATTTCTATTAGGTCGTTTTTAAGCTCTCAAAGAATGCGTACTTTGAATCTAATGTAATAACTTACATTACAGGTGGGTTCGATTGTTTTCGTAGGCTGGGCAAAATCGCAAAAAGCTGTTGACTGGAGCCTATTCAAGGTACGCAAACATTTTTCTCTTAATGAAAAATCAATGTTGATTGACGAATTTCGCTAACCGAAAGGAAGAGGTCGTATGCAACAATAATGTACTGAATAAGATTATTGAATGGTTTCTCAAAATGAACTTTATCATTGCTTCTTGCACCAGGGAATTGTGGCTGCCTGGCTGTTAACGCTCCCTATCACAGGTGGATTAACAGCGGCAGTTATGACTGTACTGATGAGGTTTGTCGACAACGTTCATTGATACTGTAGGGTGCCCAAGAGCAACAGAGACGCCAGACGTGGCTGGATCAGCAGCCATCATTAAGACCACCGCGTGACCATAATCTATGTCTCGTTTGTCCTCAGGACTACTGTGAGAGATAGGAAGGTTCAAAAAACCGAATGGAACCATAAAGAGTCTATAGCCGGTCACATTGGAACCTTTTTACAACGAAAACATTGCTTGTTTTGTTTATCAACCCACTCGAACCTAGTAATTTCACCAGGTGACGCCATACACTCATTCGGGAACACAGACGGGTGCGCGAGTAGTTGGACGGCCGCATCGAGGAATCAAGTTGAATTAGAAGGCACTATTATGTACTTTAGCATACAGCAACAATCTTGTTAATAAATATGATCTTTTCTGCGATTTTATCTACGATCAATAGATAATATTACTGCGTTATTAAGCAATGATTATCCCAAGGTAAACATACGAGAAAATAAAGTTTGATGATTTTAGATAATTGCGCTAAGATGCAAATTTTGCATATGGCCACAAACGACTCACAGGACTGATCATGCGAAACGTAAATGTGGGCGTTTTGTTTAGAGTCCTAAAATTAGTGGAACACGTTTAACTAAAAGCACACGAGTGCCATTACGGCTCCGATATCCGTCGTGAGCAATTTTCGTCTCGAACAAATGCTCTAAGAACGACATCGCTTGCCATTGCCCACCCCAACAACACTCGCAGAGTTGGACACCTACTGAAACTACAAATGTGGGCAACAGGGGGTTGTTGGAGGACTCGGGGGAGTCATAGTTGCTGTTTGTAGATATGTATTAACAGGAAATGGTTCTGAACTGAGATATACTGAACGTCTTTGTGGCCGTTTCAAGTATGTATAGTCAATTGCGGATCTGCTGCACTTCCTGTCAACTGGAAACTCAGCAGTGCAATGAATGATGTGAGTGATAAGCTATGCTTAGTATTTATGTCATAAAAAGATACCTGTGAATGCCTTGGAGATCGGTGTATTTTTTTCTAGAAAATTCATATTGACAGAAGGTAGATATTCAGCGAGACCCAGTTGATGCCATTACAAAATATCGTCGTGTATTATCGCACGTTCTAGATGAACAAGGATTAAACCTTAACTGAAAAGACAGTGGCATCGTACCAAGGTAGATAGTGGCAAATCGTATTTGTTATAACGCATGCTTAGCTTATACGTAATAACGTTTTCAGTCGACTGATGACTATGCAGATCCGTGATTCAAAATTACGTGAGACACGTCGAGTTATGTAAGGGGCTTCTGGAAGATATCTGACTGGCAATGTTTTTCAGGTGTACTCAAAATTTAACCCTTTACCCTGGGCTGAGCTTCAGAGTAAAAACACACACAGAAGCTTGTTTTTGTTTTTCATTCATTTACTTTGCAGAAAACACAACATGAAGGCTACGGCTTGGTAGGAACCAAAACTAAAATGATAGTTTACAATGTAAAGAGTCCAAAAGCACCGTGGCACCTCATCGCTTCATGTTTATTTAGCTGCTCTATACAATAAAAAAAAAGTCAAAGGAGAAACCGACAAAATGAGAAAGAGCTTCGACTATAACTATTCCAATGAATAAGAGAGAAAACTGATTATCTATAAATAATTGTAGTTCATTATAGGCAATAGTACATGCGCACGATATTCATGAATAACGTTCACACATACATAGCGTTTCCGGTACGGGACCCTGATCATCTAAATACTGCGACGCATCTCACAAAGTTCAGTAATGTTTCTTCTCACCCGTGCGTCTATCGGATTCGCCACCAGTCTCAGCCCCGCTTCCTTATAAACGACATGTTAAAATAATGCATTTCCTCCATGATAACCATTTTCTTCATTTATATGTTCACCTACACTTCTCATTCATTACTTCGTTCGATGTCAATTCCGTTTGTTCCTATCTAGTCTAGCAGCCGCTGAACAGCCCCAGTTTTTGCTCTGTGCCAAATCCCGCAATTACAGGCATAAACCGTATTTAATGTTGTCCTCACTATAAGCTTTGCTATCATCATGACCATCGCTATGACTCATTTCCCTTATTGTGTAAAAGTCAACAGGAAGTCACCATCATAGCGGTGTAGTCATCCTATTTCCGCCATTGATCTTTCTTCGTATTTCATTTTGCTCAAGATATTTTTTAAGATTCAACATGACTCTGTCTCGATAATTAGTAATTATTCATCGAAGAAACACGGGCGAAACCATTTTCAGCCATTGTCGTTCTAATTAACGGCATGCTCTATTCGTCATTATAGTGCATACGAACATTAAACCTCCGAAAGCTGTGCTTCCATATAGATCATCAGGATTGTCGTCATCGGGATCATCAGAGAACCACATAGAACAAGGATAGAGAGGAAAGACTGCAAGGAGAGTCCAATGAGAAATGGTCGGTTTTTAGGGGCCAAGAAGAAAACGAATAGTTTTCGTCGAGAATTACATTGCACAGGAATTGTGCCTATGAGAATACTTATTTTAATTATTAATGTAATTCTGATTATGTATTATTTCAGAGCGTACAGGGTGCGAGCAAAAGTAGCGTTATAGTAAAACAAGGCTGAAGTGTACAATTAGAAAAATGTACATGAAAAAAGGACAAAGCAAATTTACAATTGAAGGAGCATTCGCATCAACTGGAGGCCTACTGTTTTCACCTTTTCCCAATGTAAGCGCACTTTTGCGCCGCCCTGCATAACTGTTGTGCTGTGAAGTTAACGATGACATTCAATTTATATACGTATGATATTTGGGTATAGTCTTTGATCATGGTAAAAGGTGGCTGTATGAAATTAGACAAGTATCGTGGTCTGTCATTCAACATAAGGCAGTTCATATCTGAAATATCCTGGTCGACGGCAGATTCCTGCGAATAAATAAGTGTTTCTTAAGCTGCTTAAGCGAGTAGCTATCCCTGATCCTGTTTCGATCTTTCAACCTTAAGTCTAAGCCAAAGCTAAACGGTTCTACTAGATCTAGAAACCATTTGGTCCTTCATATATATCTCACTTCTCGCGACGTTCCTTTATCTCTCAGCCATTTTGCTTATTCCCTCTTGCCGGAAATATTCAGATGGTGTTATTTTTCAATTAGCTTTCCCGTTATTTCTTTGCTAATTCAGTTTGCCAATGTTCAGAATAAGCGCGACAACAGGATGCAAAAACAATTTCTTTTCAGGCAAGTTTGGGCGAGATGTTGAAAGACAATGAAAAGTTGTATTTCCCTTTGCGTTACAATTGGCCCGTGGCTTCTGCAGGCTTTTAATTTCTCTTACGATCCTATAAGCTTATAATACTTGACGATAATCCGGTGGTCGCAGCTTGTCTTCTCATCTAGCTAATAGACGGTCTCCAATCCAAGGAATTCCCATTCCAGATTTAAAACTATATTTTTTAAACTTAGCAAACACCTTCCAGCAGTCCGCTCAGTCTCTCGGCTTGCGCTACAAATACGGCAGACCGCATTGGCAGCTTTCCGCCTCAGCGATATACAATAGACGTTGAAAATGCCTTTCTTTGCTCATCCATAACTTCCACTTTTGGGGTCCGAACCCCATCTTAGCTCCTACGTATTGTACCAGAACATTATAACAGGCTCATAGAAAACAGCGAGCACTTTTGATTGATATATAAAACCAAACGAACAACAAGAATGTAACAGGGCGAAGGGACTTTGAAGAATCTGCTTTGCTTATATGTCAACCTATTAAAAGGCCTTTATGTAAATTGCACTTAGCGATGAAAATGACAAAAAGCGATGGGTGCCATCACCTCATCGAAGTTCGGCTGTAAGGAAACATGAGCGTTGCTTAATACCGCTACACGTCTAAGGTGGCCTATAACTGACCAAACTACAGAGTTATTTGCCGTATGTGTTATATTCAACCTTTTACCCAGCAAAAGTTACTGTGCCTTCTAAACTTTCACTTATCAACGCAGGTTTAGTGGTAATCATTGCGAAGAACTTTTTCTATAAACACTGTGTATGGATAGTAGATTCGTCACACTACCAACGCAGTGCGATACAGGGGCGGAATTAGAGCCCGGCTTGTCTCCTGCTAACGCATATCGTATTGAGCGACGGTATTCGCGCAGTCATATGATTTAGTCTGGCCAAAATCTATTTGCAAATGCGCGGCGCCGTTGGTGTAGTGGAATCACGCACAACTCACGGCAAACCGTGCAACCCGGGTTCGATTCCTGGACGGCGCCGAAGTTTTCTGAGCGCTTCAAATACATTATATACGCGGACATTTATAGTATCTGGTTTTTGGCGTGACCTTTGGTCTTTTTCAGCCAGACGCCTGGCCGGCCAAGATAGACCTGGAAGGCCCTGGGGGACAAACACACACACATATAGTAGATCGATACGAGTTGGTACAGGCGACCAAAGACAAAAGATGAAGGCAATGAAAACCACTTCAGTGGAACGCGACCTCACCGTAAGAACAATATATTATCGGACATAGATCTATTTGAAAGAAACTGCGTGTGTTGTGAATGTTTATTCGTTCCCCTAGATTTATCTATACGTATGCGCTACGCAAGAAGCCACAAAAGCCTATTCCCGGAAAACAAAATGTGTGTATGTAGTAAATTAGGGGAAAAATAAGTCAGTATTTATAGTCCTACTATTGATATATCAATATGCATGCTCATTGTTTCTTCTTCCCAAAGCTAATGAAATATTAGGTTATGACTCGGGTTAACAGACGGCTCGCGTCATTTTACAAGAATACCTTTATTTATTCATTTCATTCGGCTGATGATTCCAAGTTTCTCCAGCGCGAAACACGGCCATGTTGAAATTGCTCGACTGCGATGTTTGCAACGGTCACGTCGCCGTTAGTTAAATCTTTGCCGACCGCATACACAGTGGAATATATAGTTTATACGATATCACTATATTTCTTGCTATTTTGTGATCCACCACAGTAGTTCATAAACGATATAGTGCTCGCTTTAGGATCTATACGAGGTCGCCCATTTCATCTATATAGAATAAGAACCTTTACAGATTTTTTTTATTAGCAGTACGAAAAATTTTTAAATAATGAGACTTGCCATGTAAGTTACATTCTGGATAGAAGGAGGACGTTGAGATCTTGAGGACCACGCTTCGATACAAGCGATTTGCTACGGGTCTCTCTCTCTCTCTCTCCCTCCCCTCTCTCTTAGTCAATAAGTAACAAGGAAAAATTAGAGGCCACGAATGATCGGAACTAACTTGCGAATGGGATAAGTTCCCGGGGTTGTGCATGAACCCGATGCAAAATTAATGATAAAGTCATAGTAGCTCTACAGGTGTTTTATAGATTACCTTGTCTCATTATTATTATTATTATTATTATCTAGATATACTTTTTCTTATAGAGCATGAGCTGATTATCTGTGGAGTTTAGCTAATCGTAATTAGACATGAACGAGACTGGTAGCCGTATGAAGTTCGAGCGAGAATTCTCCCACGTTTCTCATGTCGCAGTCTGCACTTTCGCATCATATGAATAGCTAACAAAGGTTCAAAACATATCTTCGCCAAAATCGTAAGTTAGTAATAGAAGTGAAAGTGTGCAGTCTCTAATAAACGTTTCAATAACAAGCGGCAGCCTTTGTCGAAACAAGGTCCATTTCCAAGAAACATGCACCCCTTAGCTTTTTTTTTCTTCACAAAATTTGTGCTGTCAGCCTGCCCGACAAGATAGAACGTCCAGCTGGTATTTGCTGCGCGCATGAGATTGTCTAAACAAATGTCTTGACTTGAGGGGCAACATTGTGTTCGAAGATTAGTTCTGATACAAAGCGAGCCCCCTGTCGTTCATTCCTCTTATGAAGGCAAACCCTTTACTGCTGTGCCATCACGGGCCAAATAGACTATTTGAATCGATTCTTTTAATCGATTTCGCTAGATGGGGCTGACAGATAAAAATAAGTAAATGGATCTTGGGATCGTATCATAAAGCGTATTGTA